ATTCTTCAGTAACCTCATAGCGCTTGGAGTGGCAAGACTGGCAGCAATTCATAACTGGTGAAATATCAAAACCACTTGAGCAAGAACCTCAGAACATGCCCTACATGCGGGACCTGGGGAGGGTGAGAAATTGGGTGGGCCGTCTCCCTTAATATCCCCCTTTAAACATGAAGGAAACAATACGGAAATAATAGTCTTACCCACTTTCCTATAGCCCTTGAACCTTTTTACCCCAATTAACTATGTAAAGATTGTCAAAATATAATTAAAAAATAAACAACAAAAAAAATTCTGTTTCCCACGAACTTTGTGAAGGCCCCTGGTATATTTGTAGGTCTGTTAGGACTAGCTGCAGTGTTAGGTGTACAGATGGGGCCCCGACACCCCCAGAGGCCCAAGCCGAGTTCTCTTCTCTCAGATTTGGCCTGACTCAAATGGTGGATGGCATTTGGAGAGTGAAACAGCAAATGGAAGATCTGTCTCTCTGATAAAATGAAAAAAAAAAATTTAAACAATTTTTAAAAATTAGTACAGACTGCATACTAAACCAGTACATCTGAGAATTGCACCTTTCTGCAGGAGCACGAGGCAGCTGAGCAGCTATAAGGCAATACGCACTGCGTGCCGCCAAGGGATTCTTGGTCTAGTTTCAAGGGCAAGCTACATCAAAAAAAAGGTACACACAGTTTCGGTGCCCAGCGTCCCTAATACATGATGAACCAGCAGAGCGAGCCACGGATGCCCGACAGAACTCAGCGAGCTGAGGGAGTGATGCTCTGGGCTAAATGGCAGTCCCAATTACGGTATCCCTCCCAGGGGCGGAATCACCAACACGGAGAACGTGGGGCTCTGCTCAGACTTTGACACAAACACAGGACACTGATGAGAGCAGCACGGCCCAGTGGAAGGCGTGTTCTGTTTCAGAGCACGCCACATTCCTAACACAAGCCTTCATTCCTTCCAGACCCCAGCCCTTCAGCAGACAGGTAGGCACCCACATGCAGAAACCACACCCAGAACAGCCATCACCTACTGCGGAGGAGGCCTCCTCATGGCTTTAACGGACACACGGCCTGAGAGCGAAGGGCCCTGACAGCTAGCGTAAGGAGAGAGAAGCCAAACCGTGGCCATGCGCGAGGGGCCCAACCTGGCTGATCCTGGCACACAGCAGTGCCAGCTCACGCACTGTAGTCAATGGCTGCTGAGTGGCTCCAACAGAGAGCTCACGGCCTGCAAGGCCTAAAATATGCACCGTCTGACCATGAACTTCACCTTCTATCCTGCGCACTCAAGCAAGTGGTCTGGCCTTGGATAATACAGAAGAAGTTAAAGGGGGAAAAACAGTTCAACTACTTAAAAAAAAATCTAGACTAAAGGTGAGCAGTACTAAACTAGGGGATTTTTTATTTCTGGATTCCAGGACAAGTTGAAGGGGGAAAAAAAAAAGATGGCATAAGGTTTTTAACTTGTATAACTAGTTGAAAGCGACATGTTGGGGGAAATACAAAATGTCTTCAAGAAGCTCATGGAAACAACAATGCAGGTATTTCAAATTTTTTTTTTTTTGTATCCACATCCTGTAATTCCATTCCCACGAACTTTCTGAAGTTTTTGGAACAGCTGCAGGATAGGAAACAGGGATTTAAAACTGTTTGAATTGTTGAATCGACAAGAAACGGAAGAAGCCTTCCAGAATCAACCGAGACAGTATCACCAGGACAAGCGCACCCAGCCGTACGAAGCACAAGGCAATAGGCCTGCGCAAGTGGAGACAACGCAGACACGGTCTGGGAGAAAAGGTGAGAAGCCGAGCGGCGCACTCCTGCCTGAGACCATGGCTTTCATAAAGGTGCAGGGACGAAGGCCAGCATGGGGAATGGACGGAAGGGCAACTCAAAGGCAGGGTCCTGCTTCCAGATCAGTCTTCCCCAACTGAACCTGTTCCACAGCAGCATCAGGCAGAGCCGACCACCACACATCGGCTCATCGAGACACTCAGCCTTTCCGTGGATTCCGCAGAGCTCAGGGGTCCGCAGAGGCTGACCTTTCCCAAGGCTGACCTCTGCAGAGGACCTTCCCCAAAGGAGAGGACACGAACGACAGCCACAAAGAGAAGCGTACTGACACAGACAACAAAGAGCAGGTGCAGAGCCTGCTGCCCACTCTGGCCTGCTGTGGTCAACCCAAGGGCTTTTAACTTACAACTGTATGCACAGTCAGACCTTACGCTCGCTCAAAGATTACTACTATTATTTTTACTACTTTTAGTCATTTCATGGGTAAATACCCACTGATTTACTGTATTCACAGTTGCAAGGAACTTGGAAAACTCAGAATTGAAAAACGAGGTTTCTCATTTCCTAATGGGTAAATGCCATTAGCTGGATTGGGTGCTGAGGCACAGCAACATAAGTGGCTGCTCGAGACTGCCACATCCACAGCTGAGTGGCGGAGTCCCATCTAGTCTGCAGTTCTAATCCAGCCTCCTGCTCGGCGCCCGCGGCAGCCGATGACAGCCTGGCCAGCCTGGACGGGCTACGGCATTGTCCAGGCCTGTCTGGAGTGCGTGAACTAGTGGATGGAGGGCCGGGGTCTCGTCTCTTACTCTGCCTGTCAAATAAGTCTATCAACTCACTTTCCTGCAGATGGAGAGGAAGTACAAGAAAATTAACAACAACACAACAACAAAAAAATGGATAAAGACTTTTAAAAGGAAAATAAAGAGAAAAAGAGAAATATGATTCTCAATGGCTGCTATCTGATAAGACCAAGCGACAAAAAAACCTATTTAGCAGACAAAGTGAACATTTGCAATGAAAAATAAAAGTCCTTGCAATGAAGAAAAACCAGAAAACATTAATCAAGTAACACCACGTAAAGACCAAGGAAAATCAATCACAGTGAGTAGGTTTAAAAAAAAAGAAAACTTAAAAAATAGTTCTTTAAAGATCTATTGGACACACAAGAAAACTAGACTAGTAACAGATTCTACAGGGAAGAAACAGGAACCTCCAGGAAACCTGCAAAGTTTGCAGGGACCACAGAGCTTTCATTTTACACTCCAAACCCAAATGAACACCTGATTCCTAAAATGACACAGAAAGCTCTGTTGACTTTGTCAACTAGAACAGGAAATGAAATCAAGAAGAAAGTCATCATGGAAAGAATAAAGGGTTTAGAACCACCGCCTGGCAAGTGCTAGCACTGGGGCCAAATCCTATCAAGCTGGACTGCTTGGCAGAACTACCTGGCAAGTGCAAGATCCAGTACTGGGAGTGGGCCCAGTAGGGAAACTGCAGGCACCTCTCTGATGGCTGCAACTCCCACTGGCGAGTCTGAGAACCGGGACTGGGTACGGGCCTGGCTAGACAGGAGGTGGCACCTATAGTTATGAATGTGGGCTGGAGAGCAGGGCCAGTTGGACAGAGCTAGGCTCCAACATCCACTGATGTATATGAGAGCTGAGTCGGATGTGGGGTGGACTGGGCCAGCCTGCTGCAGACACTGGCAAGCATGGGAACCAGGGCTGGGGCTGGAGCTAGCACGGGTCATTGGGGGTTGCTCTGACTAGGCTGTAGTTCCCACTGACGCACATGAGGGCTGAATGTGTCGGGGGGCTGGGTTAGTCTGAGCCACAGCATCCAATGGTTTGTTTTAAGAAATGGGGCTAGAGAAAGAACTGAGCCAGCAATTACAATTACTAGTGTATATGAAAGCTGATGTGGGGGACAGACTGAGCCAGACTCCATACTGACAAGCACAGCAAGAGTCAGGTCGGGGATCACATCAGGTAAGATCTCTTTAGGAATCCCCCCAACTGAACTGCTGGGCTCACAACAACCATGGGGAGAATGGCAGGATCTGTGGTCTGACCGTGCAGTGCGTGTCACAGAACTGGGCCTGCTCAGTGCTTAGGCGCAGCAGTGGAGGGCATGTCCAGAAGCACATGGAGGATATGGCAGCCCCCTGGGGCCTGCAGAGGACACCTGGTACCATAGCAGAAAAAGGAGGGCAGGACAAATTGGGCAACTACCCCTGCCAACCATTGAGAGCAAATATCTGAATGGAGACTCTAGTAAGGTGGACTGTGTCAGCGGACCGTGGAAGGATTTCCTCATCCTTGGACTGGCAAGAGCAACAGTACTTCAGAACTATCGAGACCACCTGAGCAGAACCCTCGGCGCATGCTCTGCACTGGGGGTGCTGGGCTGACGTCAGGAGGCTGTTCCTAGCCCTGGGTGCTGGCATGGTTGAAAGGCTGGGTATGGCTTCACTTCTTGTCTCCCTCCTGTCCCCAGATATAGGAGGAGGAAAAAGTAAGTTTGGAGACAGTGGTCTCACCCACTTTGCCCTAATCCTTGCCCCTTCCTGCCCTCATCAACTATGTAATCATCATCATAAAAAAAGGAGGGGGCAGGGTAATGTCGGGGCCCCGGGGCACTGAGGGCCAAAGAGCCGTCCACGTCCTAACCCAGCTCCCTGAAAATGCATCATGGGAAAGCAGCGAAAGATGATCTAAGTCCTTGGGCCCAGACACCACGTGGGAGATTCTGACAAGCTCCAGGTCCCTGGCTTCAGTCAGGCACAGCCCTGACGATATGGCTGTTGCAGGAGCTGAACCAGCGGACGGAAGGTCAGTCAGTCGGTTGGTCGCTATCTGCCTCTCCGTAGCTCTTCGTAGCTCTGGATCTTTTTTGTTTTGTTTTTTAAAAGTTGGGACGCCAAAGGTACAAAAAGGCCAAAGGAGAAATAAGTGTCATTCTTAGCACCAACCACTAGGTGGTGGTATTGGTAAGGACAGGGAGGCTCAGTTGTGGAAACTGAAAAACTAGGTAGGTGCCTGGAGTAAACAATGACTTGCGGGACCCTCAAAGACATTCTACCTGATTTTGATCATAAAAATTTTAAAGTGTACATTTTTAGGCATGAAAAAAAATTTCAACAAATAATCAAAAGTTTATACAAGACCCTGAGAAATGCGGCTGTGCTTGTCCGCGTACCTTTACCACGTTGTCTCCCGACTGGCCGTTATTTCGTAAACAATCCAGACATATGGCGATCTGTGGGTCACTTCTGTGGTAATCTTTATCATCTTGATTTTCATCACCTTCTTCATCCATTTTGGGTTTGTCAACTTTTGAAGTATCATCTGTAAAATTAAGTAACGATACATTTATCCAAACAACAGTCACCTTCAGGAAAAAATTTTCTTAAGAGACTGAATGTTGCAACCAACTCAACAATAGAATTATTTTTAAGTCACTTTCTGGGCTCCTGGGGGCATGCAAATGAGAGACTCAAAAAAAGCAAAATCGGGCCCGACGCGGTGGCGCAAGTGGTTAAGGTCCTCGCCTTGCATACTCGGGATCCCATATGGGCGCCGGTTCTATCCCCGGCAGCCCAGCTTCCCTCCCAGCTCCCTGCCTGTGGCCTGGGAAAGCAGTCGAGGACGGCCCAGGGATTTGGGAACCTGCACCCGCGTGGGATACCCAGAAGAGGCTCCTGGCTTCGGATCGGCATAGTATGGGCCATTGCGCTCACTTGGGGAGTGAATCATCGGACGGAGGATCTTCCTCTCTGTCTCTCCTCTCTGTATATCCGCCTTTCCAATGAAAAAAAAAAAAAAAAGAAAAAGAAAAGAACCAGTGCCCATATGGGATCCTGGCGTGTGCAAGGCGAGGACTTTAGCTACTAGGCTACTGTGTTGGGCCATAAGTTCTCAAATTCTCACAATAGGTAATTATTAAATCTGTTAGAATTTTATTTTTTTTTAAAGATTTTATTTTTTTATTGGAAAGGCGGATATAAAGAGAGGAGAGACAGAGAGGAAGATCTTCCGTCCGATGATTCACTCCCCAAGTGAGCGCAACGGCTGGAGCTGAGCCAATCTGAAGCCAGGAGCCTCTTCTGGGTCTCCCACATGGGTGCAGGGTCCCAAAGCTTTGTGCTGTCCTCCACTGCTTTCCCGGGCCACAGGCAGGGAGCTAGAGGGGAAGCAGGGCTGCCGGGATAGAACCGGTGCCCATATGGGATCCCGGGCGTGCAAGGCGAGGACCTTAACCACTGCGCCACCGCGCCGGGCCCTAGAATTTTATTTTATGTATAACATGTAAAACTTCATTTAAGAAATCAAAGTGGACCACTATGAACAAACCTCATACATTTATATATAATTCAAAGACTTGGTGGAAAAGACCTTTTATGAAAAAAAAACAACCTATGAATGAATTTTAAATTGTTTTATGCCAACAAATTACTTCAAAAAGCCTATGGAAAATGAAAAATCTCCTATTTAGCCTACCCCGTGTGTGCAGCACCTCACCCACGCACCGCATGGATCCCGGACTGAGTGCCTCTCACTGCATGTCGGGGCTGCGTGCCAGATCTGGGGGAACAAGACTGAACGCGGCCCCTCGCGCTCAGCTGCAGTGTCAGGGTACCGGATCAAATGCAGGTGGCAACCCCACAACTAGAAGGTGGGAGAACTTAGCCACAGGGTGCTTAGAGAAAAGTACACACACAGATACACATTAAAAAAAAAGAAAGAAAAAAGGAGACACATCTTAACTTTGGTGGGTGAAGCAAAGATTCGGGGAAGATTTCACAAAGCTCGAAAAAATTAGCCAGTCAGGCATTCCAGTGCAGGAACAAACCCGGCATGAGAATGGGAGGAGCATGCACCTGCAGAACTGCATGATGGGGAAAAAATGAAAAAATTCCCAGCACTCCAAACGACAGGTCAGCTTCTCTTCAGTGATCATAATGCAAGCTGTACAGGTGTCCAGGGCAGCTCTGTGGTGCAGAGGGTGCGGGGGCTTAAGCGGCAGTTCAAGTCCAGGCTGCTCCCGCTCAGACCCCGCTCCCTGCTGCTGGGCCGGCAGTTCCAATGCCTGGCTCCCCGCCACCCTCACGGGAGGCCGCAGTGAGGTTCCATGCTCCTAGCTACGGCCTGGCCTGGCCTGGCTGTCACACTCATGTGAGGAGTGAACCAGTGGATGGAAGCGCATTCTCTCTGTAACACTGACTTTCAAATAGAACTGATGGAATAACAATTACTGCAGCTGTTGCTTGGGGAAAGGTAGGCTCTCTTTTGCACTGTTAGGGAGACATCCCACGGATAGCAGCTGCTTTTCATGGAGCAAGCCAGGTGCTAATGGCGTAACACTCCAACAAGGAGGAAACAACAGGAAAAGCGTCGGGATGGCCAGAGTGGACCCGGCCCTTCTGCCAGGTCAGCTGTCAGTCAGCCCAAGCCAAGCCAGCCACCACGAAACTGGCAATGACAACCCCAGCTCTGAGTTCTTCAACGGGCAGTCTACACCGGGAACATCTGATCATCCAGGCTAACAGGACAGCACGGGGGTCTGATTGCAAAGCGCATACGGGCAAAGTGAGTCTTCAGTTAACTTGTTTGTTTGGTTAGGCTTAGCTTCTTACCCTTGGTGGCTGCCATGAACAAATGGCAGCCCCTTGCCACCTCATTCCCATCACCAAAACCCATTCTCAAACCTCCCCTGTCACAGGAGAACAGCTTTGCAGAATGCAGCTGAACCAATAAAACCATAGTCCTCACTTTCCACCCGAACACAGCACTTCCTGCTCCCTCCAGTGCTAACGGAGCGCCTGGCCTGGGTTTTTCTATAAGCCAGCCTACAAAGACATATATATGTTTTTCAAAGATGTCAATGTCTTTTAATGCCTCTTGAATAAAACCTTGTATCAGAAAAACAGAGGAAGAGGACAATGCAGTGGTACCACATGCTAATCCTCCGCCCTGTGGCGTTAGCATCCATGTCTCAGTGCCCCGCTTCCCATCCAGCTCCCTACTCGTGGCCTGGGAACACAGGGGAGGATGGCCCAAGTCGTGGGGCCCGTGCACCTAAGAGGGAGACCCTGAAGAAACTCCTGGTTCCCCTACTTCAGATCAGCTCAGCTCTGGACACTGCGGCTGTTTGGGGAGCAAACCAGCAGATAGAAGACCTTCTTTCTATGCATAACTCCTCTGCTTTCTGTAAAATCTGCCTTTCAAATACATTTTTGTAAAGGAGGATGCTACCTGATAAATTCAGACATCCTATTGTGTGTGGCTCATACACACACCAAAAGCTCAGGGATGTTCCTCCCTGAAGAAATTGGTATATAAGAAAATCACCACCTGCTGAGTGTCAGGGGACCCAGCCCTGGACACCTGGCAGAGGGCATAGGAAAGCTCCCCTACACACTTCAACCACTTTGTAAAAACCCCAGGACACACATGTGCATGTCATCTGAGCTCCTGTTGGGACAAATCAGAACAGCACCATCTCCCTGGGCTCTTGGCGTGGTCCCCTCTGCTTTGGAAACATACCTGGATAAACAGCAGAGGGACCCCCCCAACTCAGTGGCCGGTTGCGGCTGTTTCTTTAGGGTTCCAGAAATGATTGCTATAATAATTTAGTTTTCTGTCTTATCTCCTTTTTTTCTCTTTCCAGTTACCTTCAACTGGACTCTAGATTTACACATATTTATATAAAATGTCCCCCAAGACAACAATTTCTGGTGTAACTAAAGGGACCCATGCATTTTGTGCAGGAGCTTTCAGCTGGGAGAGGTTAGCTCACCAGAGCTACAGAAAGCTGGCCAACATGAGACACTATTAGATACACAACAAACAAAACTCACCTTGTCCGTTTTCTTGAGGCTTGTTTTTCTTCCAGAATTCAGATTCCCGCTCAAGTTCTTCTAATTTAAGAGAAAAAGAGGAGTATGAAAACCACAGGAGAATCATGAAATCTTTAGCAAAAATGCTGATTTCACAAAACACGAAGCCTATAACATCCAAAGGGTAACTTACGCTCTCGGAGTCCAGGGACCAGCTTAAATATAATTTCTTCTAATGTATTATCCAACCTTTGACCGGCAGGGAGAGAGAGAGACGAAGAACACGTTAACAATGACACTGCCACATCCAACAGGCGAGATCTCTTGTCTTGTACGTATCAAAGTGCTGAGCGGGACACCCATCGCACGCGAGGCATGCCTATCTCAGGCCTTCCTAGGGGCACACAGGTTGCAAGCCTGGCTCGTTTCCAGCTCTGACTCCATGTACACTCTTTGACCATGACTCTGAAAGCTGTGTCCCACCTGCTGCCTCCTGCCCTGAGTAAGCGGGGAAGTCTGTCTTCTCGCCCTGGGATGTGGGTGAGCCATGACACCTGCTCACGCCAACAGCGTAGGGTCCAGTGAAGATGATGAGTTCTGAGTCTGCTCTGACCTCCAGAGGCACCCGGGACCTGCTCACTGTCACCTCCTGAGAACACAGGCCCCAGGGACGGCAGCCATGCTGCCCTGCTGGGGTCGTTTGAGACCAGCCTCCCATTCATGGACAGGTGAGAGCGGGAGACCCACCCTGCTGACCACCACGGGTTCCGGGGGGCACTCAGTGATGTTGACTGTTGCCACACTGAACTTGCAGGGACAACTGTGCGGCCCAAGCCCAACCTCCACTTGCAAAACCTTCACAACTCTGGCTCCCTCCTTTGAAAATGAAATGCCTCACCTTCCCGGGACTTGCGAAACCTTCAAATATTCATCTGTACTTTTTTCTCCTTTTCTTTTCCTCCTATCCAAATTATTTTGAGGGGGTGGGGGGGAAGGGCTTTCATCTGCTCGCTCCCATGCCCTTGCTCTCCCAACCTCCTTCCCACACTGCTCTAACACCCAGCATGCACCTGACATCACCCAAAACTGTTGCCAGGCTCACTGTCTTTTCGGGCAGAATCTGGTCTTGTTCTTCCAACTGAAAAAAAAAAAATCTCAAAGTCTGATCTGTCACATACTCTGTTTACCTTTCGCTGAACTCTCAAAATCACTCAATTTTCATACTGAACAGTCTTAATTGTTTTCACAAGTAAATCCTTAAAATTTTAAATGTTTTTCAAGTGCATTTTTCTCCCACACTGGTCTGCAGCATTTTGACGGTAATGCCTAGTTCCACCTCCCAGAAGAATGTCCTTCGGTGTTGCCCGCCGCCCCCGCTCTGCCCTGTCCGCCCCTGCTCCCGCGCGTTTCCCTGTGGGCAGCTCCTGCGGAAGCTGAGCATCCTCCATTGCGCCATCCTCTGCACTCCGGCCTCCGCCGCAGGCTGTCCTCCTGGGGCGTCTCTTGCTCTGGCTTCAGACCTGCCTGCCGTCGTATTCCCAGCAGCTGCTCCACAGTTCAGGCACCCTCTCTGTTCACTTCTGTCACGGCGGTCACATCTAGCCTTCGAGGAAATACCATCTCTGTCTCCCTTTTTATGAATGAAAACTCTAAGCAATACCATGACTCTTGCAAGTAGGCTCAAAATGAAAGAATGGACTTGTGTCTGCCGAGTCACACACACACACCCCCACACCAAGCTTCCTCGCAGCCTCTGCTCACAGCTTCTCGCGTCTACGCCTGCCCAACTCTTCCCAACCTTCACTGGATGAAGAGGGATGTCCTTCCTCACCTCCTCTAATGCTGCAGCCCAGGCTACATCCTGCAGACACGCTCCTTGCGTCCCCTCTCCCTACCCATCTCAATCAGTCACTCTGGGATGCCTCTTCTCCCCTGTGTTCTCCATTCTGACCCCCACATTTTCTTTGTGTTACCCAACCATGCTTACCACCTTATTTTGAAGACTTATTTCCAATGCTAACTTACAAAGTTTTTCAAGCTACATTACCTAGCAGTACAAAAAAACCAGTAATACTACTACTTCTTGATTTAAAACCTAGAATATGAGTATTGAATTTCAAGGTCAGAGTTCCCTATCAAGCTTGAATTAAATCAGTATTCTCATGCCTGATTCTCACAGTTCCTGATTCCTACAACCCCACAGGCAGCCTCCTCCCCCTGGTCATTTGTCCTTTCCTTCTATCTAGATTTTTCTGACTTCCATTTATAAAAGATAAAAGTTTAGCTCTCTCCTATCCCACCACTTCTTTCCGTCCCAATAAACACTTTTTCCTGATTCTCTTTTCAGTATAGTTTTACTACATTATAGTTACCCAATGTACTTATGTTTCTGTTTAATAATCAGGGTTTATATGGTTAAGACTATATAAACATCTACAATATACCCTGAATAAAAGTGTCTCTTCATTCAGCTTTTTTCTTTCTTGCCCTGGAGTCAGGAAGTGCTCCTTTTTCATTTCCTATGTTACCTAATCCCAAATTCTCAAAAAGAAGCCCTTTCGTTGTACAGATTTGGAACCAACCAATTCCACTTCTGTTCCCTGACATTTCCTCTTCATTCTGATGCTCTCTCCATTCTCCTGTCCAGTTCAGGGCAGTGTGACCAACATCGGCCACCAACATCACTCCTTCACTGTGCCAGGCTCCCCCGCCCCCGTCCAATCTCAATGTGCTCAAAATTGTTTGTTACCATCACAACTCTAGTTACCCGTGGCTGGCAAGAAAAACAACACACGCCTTCTAATGTAACTCTGCCTCTTTGGTCGTTTCTTCTCCTATTCCCCTGGAGAACATAGTATATTCTCTCTCTCTCTCTCTTTCTCTTCTCAAACGTCTTCAGCCAAACTCTTGGCTGAGAGACACTTTCTTTTCCAGAAAAGCACGCATCCACAAACTCCAGCCACCGTGGCTACCTACAGAGCTGCACCCAGTGAGGCGCACTCACCTCGGGGCGCCACAGCTCATCTGTCCATGCCCCAGACGGCATGCAGCTGCCCTCACAGCCCGAGTAGCTCTCTGTCCTCCCCTTTCCTTTAACTAGACGGCGATTTCTTCCACACTGAAGTGGAAAGCAGATCCTTCGTGACTGCTTCTCCTGAGAGAAGCCCATCCCCGCTGCCTGCGCTTGGGGTCTCTTCAGTTCTGGCTTCCTTCCTTAAGGTAAGTGGCCCTATCAGGGGGGACGACTTCCACACTGCCAAAGCTGACCATCGGTTCTCAGTCTTCTCTGTACTGGAGCCACCCACTCTGCCGTCCTCAACACACCGAGTTCACCTGGTCTGCGGACATCGTAGCCTCCGTGTATCTTCTGGCTGCCTGAGCCCTTAGGACGCCCAAGAGCACCAGATCTCAGTCCTGGCTCTTCTCTTCATGTCCCTCAGTGCTGCTGTAAGTGATGACACCATGCCTCACAACTCAAGTGCCTTCTTGATGTGCACAATGACAAATATTTATCTGCTGGTCCAGACCTCTCCCTCTGCATCTCAGACTCATCTTTGCCAACTTCTTCTCTTTTCTACAATGACTGGTAGGCATGTCTAAAATGCAACTCCTGAACCATGCTGCCTCGCTATGTCTGCTCTTCCTCTCTTCCTATCTCATGTCAGGAATCTTAGATTCAATGCACCATTCTTTACCTGAAACCTTAGATCCAACCCATCGGTAGATCTTGCTGGGTCCCTTCCAAATACATTCATTTCCTGCCCCCTCTCCCATGACCGCCTCGCACTCTGATCACCATGACTGCCTTCTAACTCTTCCGCTTGCTGTGGTCCTTTTCCTCCCATGTGAAGAGTGATCTCAACAGTCAGCACAATGCTCCTTTCAAGATCGGGTCTGATCATGCCGATCCACGAATCGAAGTCCAGCAGCCTGGCCATGTTCACTCAGCCTGAAGGGAACGTTTCTACAGCGGCCACATGGCCTTCGCAACCTCTCCTCTCTGACCTCAGCACCTGCTGCTGTCTCCTTCCCTTCATTTCCAAGCCACCCTGGTCTCCCTGCTGGGCTTGAAAATCACAGATGCACAACTGACTCAGTCCCTTCCCGGCGGCTGAGTCCTCAGTCTGGATGAGGTGTGCTTTCCTCAGCCTTGTCCAAGACCGACTCCACTGTTCCCACCTTGTCCACTCAGACCTCACCTTCTCAGGAATGCTGCCTGGCCCTCCGTCCCGCGCCTGGCCCTCCCCTCCCCGCAGCATTCTCTCCTTTCAAATATGCCACACATATTACTATGCCATACTTTACTGTCTCTTCCCTGAAAAAACCACTCTTATGACTTTATAAAGGCAAGGACCTTTATCTGTTTTGCCTGCTAATGGACCTCAAACATCTAGAAGACTGCTGGACAAGGTCTGTAAGAGGTAAAGATTTTGCTACCTGTGTAATAACACTGGCACCTACTGAACTAGTTGTTTGTTTGTTTGTTTGTTTGTTTGTTTCTGGGCTACAGAATCTGATTATGCTCTGACAGCAGTGTGTCCAGCCTCAGAGATAATTCATAACCAAGACACCTCAAAGTCTTCACAATTCCTCTGTCTAGAAATGGTCACACGGCCACGGCAGCAAAGCTCCTCCCTGCTACCCCAGGCCCCTGGTATCAGCAGGCCTCCGAGGCCAGCCCAGTGTTTTCCATTGGCACTGACACCTCTTCTGCTATTTCTTCTTATCCTTTCAACAAATCTTTATTGACAATCTATAATGTTCCCGGAACTATCCCAGGTGCCAAGGACACAAAGTTCTTGTTGTTATCTCTGTGAGTTTAAGTCTTTAAGAAAAATTCCTTTGCAGTAAACTTTAATAAAAATTCAGGACTTTTTTTAAAGCTCTTCATAAAAGAAATCATTAAGAAAAAAGAATATAGAAGGTGATAACGTAAGACAATGTTCTCTTTCACAGGACGTACCCGTGGAAGCATTTAACAATGGCCATGATCAGGTGACTGGCCTTTACACCATTAAACCAACCACAGCATGTGGCGCGTGCTCTCACAGGACCTGACATAGATGTTAACCACAGGCTAACCCGAGGGCAAGTGTTGCTTGTATTACTTCTATTTTTGTGACTTTTTAAAGTTTGAACTGCTAAAATACATCATATTTCAGCTAAGCGTTCAGATTTGATTAAATAAAGTTATCTACTCGTCAAACCCATAAGTCTGGGATGCATTATCTTACAATGTGGCGTTGAAAACACTGGGAACTGTTTGCCTTTGCTCTCTGGGTTCCTCACCCAGGCACTGTGGGCACTGCTGGCACTGTGGGCTGGGGAACTCTGTTGTGAAGGGGACTGAGCTGTGCGTTTAGGATGCCAGCAGCACCCACTCTATAGCTGACAGCTCCCCTCCAAACACTGGTAGATGCATCCCAGGAACAAAGCCACCCAGCAGGAGCCTTGCTTAGGACCACAGATCAAAGTAGCCCAGGACTTCCCCAAACCTTAGCACATCCCAATTCACCCGGAAGGCTTGAGGAAGGAAGGGGGCTCCCATCCTAGAGCTTCTGATTCTGCAGCTCTGAGGTTGGGTCCAAGAGCCATTTCTAATGAGGTACCAATGGCTGGGAACCATACTCTTGGGGGGAAAAAAAAAACTCAGGAGATTTACTTATAGATAAACATCACAACTCAATTTAAAACTGAAACGAAAGTCCAAAATCTAAAACTTACATATCCAGACTCTGGAGAATGACAGCCAATATCATACAGAAAGGGAAGAGTTATAAAAGGTTTCACAGAATACCCAGGTTCATTTTCAAATATGTTAACATCCTAACATGGCACAGTTGATGTGTTAGAACTGTAAGTTTTAAGCAGAAAACAATTCCAGTGATGAAGACATCCGGAAAGTGCCTGGTATGCTGCAAGACCTGAGGCAAGTCATGTCACAACCTAAACTCCCTAACCATGAATACAGGAGCTTGGGTTACGACCTTGCAGACTGGAGCAACCCCAACAGCATCGCACTGCTTAAGCTGAGCGTCACGCATGTGGTGCTATTTCCTAATTTTCTGAACGTTACATAAATGCTTACGTACTGTCTGAACATGACAAACTAATAAAATGAGTATTGGTTCTGCCCTCTTCCTATTATCACATAACTCAGAAAATGCAAAGAATTAAAATACTGAAAATAATGGCTACAGTCATTTTTAGAGCCTGAGGGAAAACTGCAATTTCTAAATCAAACACTTTCTAAAAGAGAAACAGACTACCCTCCTCCCACCCCCAACCCCCCACCCAGTACCCTAGTTCACTGCCCGGATCCCCCTAGCGCTAGAGTCAGGCCCAGGCGTCCAGAGCTCAACCCAGGTTTCTGGGTGGGTGGAAAGCACTCGGTTCCCTGGGCTGCCACCAGCTGCCTTCGAGGGTCTAGATCAACAGAAAGCTGGAATCCCCGTAGTTCAATGTGAGACGTAGGGACCCTAACGGGAATCTTTAACCATTTGGGCCAAATGCCTATCCCAAAAGTTATAATGTTTACTGTAAAGGTCTTTAAATATATTTAAGATACATATTCTTGTTTTTAAAACTCTTCTTAAAAATGCTTTCAAACAGAATGGGGCCAGCACTGTGCAGGAAATGTAACACTGGAATTGTCATCCAGTTGTGCTCACTGGAGTCCCAGCTACTTGGCTTCCAATTCAGGTTCCTACTGACATGCCTGGGAGAGCAGCATTCAAACCATGGCTGTGACCGTCCTGCAGGTGAACTGCCTGATGCAAGGTCTCTTGCTGTCACTCTGCCTTTCAAATAGGCAAACAAAATGGAAATCATAGAGCTTATTATAAGACCCTACAACTGAGATGACACCAAGAAATATTATGATATAAAACAGTTCAGCTTATAAATTTTCCTAATGCAATGAACTATAAAATACATTTCTTACCTCAACATTTCTAAAGGATTTGTCTCGTGAACTTGGTTGCCACACCTTGGACAGTCATTGCTATCTTCAAAGTGCTGGACAATACATGTCTTACAGACTAAGAAGAAAGAAGATTTTAGGTTAAAATGCATCATTTGAACTATCACTGAAATTTAAAATTAAACTAAATTAGAAACAGTACTCGAAAATTAGCAATAGAGGTAGAATATTTTCATTTAACCAGAACTTTACAAAAACTTGTAACTGTTAACACTGTAATAAAATTCAACTGGAATAATAAGACTACTGACAGTATTAAATGTGCATAGTTTTTCACAAATATGCTCACAAATCAAGTACACTCTACTCATATTACTCTAAAAATGTTAATAGGTTCACATGAAAGGTTTTTATTTAAACAGGATAAAGTTTAAAAACAGTTCACCCACAACTACTTCTTTTGCTAAAAACCCACTTGAATGCAACAAAAATAGCTGTAGTAAGACTTGAGAGTTCAACAGATTTGGCCACTTACAGGCAGGAAGCTCCTGGGACACACTGAGCTACAGGGGAGCTGCTGGTCTTTGAGGAGTACCCAAGCACTAGCCTGCTTTCCCAGGCACCTTAGCAGAAAGCTGGATAGGAAGTGGAGCAGCAAAGATTTGAACCAGCACCCATATGGAATGCTGGTATTGCAGGTGGCAGTTTAAGCTGCAGCGCCATGAAACAGCCTCTAAATGTCTTGTGCAATGTGAGAATAATCATGAGGAATGGCTGCTTTGTTACAGCCAGGGGAACTGAAGGACAGAGACGCTGGCATCTGCTCTTCTCCCGGCAAAGCAGGTACATCTCTGAGATTTGGGAAAGAAGCAGGAAAGGAGGGAAGAAACAAGAGTGAAGGGGTTTTAAAAAGTCTGCGTTTGACTGGGAGCTCTGATCCTTATTGCTCCTCCAGGCTCAGTCACAGAAACAAGGGCGGACCCCAGCGCGGTGTCCTAGAGGCTAAAGTCCTCTCCTTGAACACACTGGGATCCCATATGGGCACTGGTTCTAATCCCAGCAGCTCCCTGCTTGTGGCCTGGGAAAGCAGTCCAGGACAGCCCAAAGCCTTAGGACCCTGCACCCATGTGGGAGACCTGGAGGAGGCTCCTGGCTCCTGATTGGCGCAGCACCAGCCACTGTGGTCATTTGGGGAGTGGATCACAGGACGGAAGATCTTCCTCCATGTCTCTATACATCTGACTTTGACATAAAAATTTAAACAAAAACAAAACAACAAAAAAAAAAAAGCAAGGGGGAGGACCTTTGCCTTCCAGCGGGTGGAGATCCTAATCTAGATTACTGGTGAGAGCAAAGGTTCCGGCCTCTAAAGGACAGCGCCCTGTGTTCATCTGCAGCAGGCAGGACATCCGGCCAGCAGCCCTCAAAGGCATGGGCCAGCATCTGGCCGGTCCTGCCAGGCAACTGCAGATGGGACTCAAAAACTCCTTGCCTCGTGTGCACTGGGGTCCCATATGAGTGCAGGTCCGTGTCCCGGCTGCTCTGATTCCCATCCAGCTCCCAGCTCATGGTCTGGGAAAGCAGCCGAGGACAGCCCAAAGCCCTGGGACCTGCATCTGCATGGGAAACCTGAAAGAAGCTCCTGGCTCCTGGTTTTGGATTAACTCAGCTTCGGACATTGAGATCACTTGGAGAGTGAACCAGTGGGTGGAAGATCTTTTTCTTTTTTTTTTTTTTTCTCTCTCTCCTCTCCGTAAATCTTTCCAAGAAAAATAAATAAATCCTAAAAAACTACAGCAAGCTAATTTTTTTTTCAGTTGATAATTCTGTATGGCTTGCAAATGATGTTAGAAATATCAGAACGCCCTTGGCAGGAAACAGGCATGTGGTCAAAGTAGCAGTAGGGTCCAGCAGCACCAGCAGCACCAGCAGCAAGGACGGGAATACTAACCTGTATCTTAGATCTGGACAGGCCAGGATGGCCACCCCCAGCTACCTGTGCCTACTGAGCACTTGAAATGTGGCCAGCTCAAGTTGAGATGTTGCTATTATTCTAAAACACACACAGGATGTCAAAGACTTACATGGGGAAAAAAAAAAGGCAGAAATTGACACCGTATATTGAAAGGACATTTCGCACACACTGGGTGCAGTGTGTTACTAATTTCACTTTTTTCTCCCTACTAGAATTATCCTAAAATCTTTACAAGGCTCACATATTATTTCTGCGTAAGTGCCACTCCAAATGGAGACAGGAATCCCCAAGCAAGAGGTAAAGCTGTTTTTCCCACTAACTTCTGCATTGCAATGTTTGATTCCACCTAGGCAGAGGAAGAGGAGGGTCTGCCAGGCCATGTCACCTGCCTGCCTCCGTGTTGGCAGCCTGGGGTCTCCAGCTGAGGGCTGCTGATAGGAATTCAAAAAAATTTTCTTCCAGCAATAAGTAGTTTTCCTTAAATATTTCAAAAGAAGGAAATATTGAACAATATAATGCTTTTCTTCCAGCTTCCTTTTTTGCGGAGATGATGAAGTAGTGGTTATCACCCCACCAACACTTAAGGAGTTTATGTTCCAAATACGTGCATATATCCAACCTGGATACGTACAGCTGAATCAACTCACTTACTTCATCACCATTTAGTAAATTTAACAGCCACTACAATCCAATTAATTAGGTAGATTATTAGGTCTTACACAGATAAACGAAAAAAAAAAGAGAGAAATTAAGCAGCTCACCTAAAACCATGGACTAACAGGCGGTGAAAGCCAGGATTTCAATGCAGAATCCATGTTCTTAACCAATGCCACCCTACGTGGCACATGGTTTTCTAGTTTCATTTCTACAGAGTTACATACAACACACAGGAAGAAGAAGCCTCGCCCTTTACCTCTGGGGCCTTACATGCGTCCATTTGTAGAATCAGATATCCTTTTAAACAGTATATTTTGCACAATTTTTAATTAACATATGCCATTAAAAAAAGACTCAAGACACATCTTCCACATGTCTTTTAAATGTTATTAAATAAACTACAGCCTTATGCAAATTAGAACCAGAGCAAATCCAGGCCAGAGATTGAGTGAAACTGAAAAAGCAAAATGAGGGTTCAGTTCTCCTGACATGTTTACATTTCTTACTGGCACAGAGTAACCCTGATTTTTTATAATTTGAAGTCTATATAAGTGGCATGCACATTTCAAAAAACATCCTTTTCTTAAAAAATCTATTCATTTTGTATTGGAAAGGCAGATATACAGAGAGAAGCAGAGAGAGAGAGGAAGATCTTCCATCCACTGTTTCACTTTCCAAGTGGTCGCAACAACCAGAGCTGAGCCAATCCGAAGCCAGGAGCTTCGTCCTAATCTCCCACACAGGTGCAGGGTCCCAAGGCTTTGGGCCTCCTCTACTGCTTTCCCAGGCCCCATGTAGGGAGTTGGATGGAAAGTGGGGCTGCCAGGATTAGAACCGGTGCCCATACGGGATCCGAGTGCATTCAAGGTGAGGACTTTAGCTGCTAGGCCACTGTGTCAGACCCACCAATGAGATTTCTACAGAATCAATCTGCAAATTCCATCCCAGACCAATCATGTCAAACTCTGTGGGCAAGGTATGCTAGGATGTGATTCTACAAAGACCTCTTACTGATGCAGCCAAGAAACAAACAAACAAAACCCTGCTCAAGGAGAAGCCAGACATAAGCTAGTCTCCATTAGGTAGCCCCCATTCCAGGATTTGTCTTTCTTACACCATAATCAAAAGCTACTTCATTATCACCAGAGAATATCGCCCTCACAGAACAAAATACAGTCAAAAGAACCCAAGAACAATGATTCTCTCCCTAAAAGGCAGAACCACGCGAGGTTAGCATAGCATAGTTGTTCCAGATAATCTGAACCCAAGTTTGGCCACTAGGCAAACCGCTCACTTTGTGCCTCTAGGTAACAGAGGAGATAATGAAGGTATTTTTATCACATGGGATTCTTCACAAGGACTGAATGAAACAAAGTGCGTGACGTTTACTGATGCAGTGACTGATCTATCCTCACCGACTGCATGACCTGTAACAGAGAACACGCATCGCAGCCTTGCAGTCTGCCGCGCCTATCTCAGCCAGCCTTGCTGATGGGAACAGTGTCCTTGTGGTCATTTCCATCCTGGGCATAGTTTTGCCATTTCACCTGAGGGGAAACTGAACCTGCACGTGCAGGACACTTCTTTTTCTAGGGTAGCACGGGGAGGGATGACCTGCACTTCCCCATCGGAATGCTTTCCTTCACCTTCCATTTAATTCTTTTTTTTTTTTTTTAAGATTTATTTTTATTATTTTTTCATTGGAAAGGCGGATATACAGAGAGGAGAGACAGAGAGGAAGATCTTCCATCCGATGATTCACTCCCCAAGTGAGCGCAACGGGCCGATACTATGCCGATCCGAAGCCAGGAGCCTCTTCCAGGTCTCCCACGCGGGTGCAGGTTCCCAAAGCTTTGGGCCGTCCTCGACTGCTTTCCCAGGCCACAGGCAGGGAGCTGGAAGGGAAGCAGGGCTGCCGGGACTAGAACCGGCGCCCATATGGGATCCCGGGTGTGCAAGACGAGGACCTTTAACCACTTGCGCCACCGCGCGGGGGCCCCCATTTAATTCAATTCTAGCACATCCCCCTCCGGTCTAGAGAACTTTGCATACACTCACTCTGATGCACTATTCTATGCTAATTTCACAGTTGAACTCTCAGAGTTATTTCGCTTCCTTATTTTCAAAGTCTTGGAGGCACGTCCACAACACCGCAAGGTCATTGGATCTCTTACTTTCACAGACAGTACACTTCCCAGCTTTGAAAACACAAAATGTCTACACAAATTTCTCATTTTGAGTACTGGCACTGGCACCTCTGATAATAAAACAATGCCAGTCCTTTTTCTTGTGCCCTTGACACTGCCATTCATTAGACTCTCTCTGCTTATCAAAACGGACTAAAGGCTGACTTCCTTTGTTAAAATCATCCAGTTACTTGGTCTTAAGAGCCAATTCAGACACATCTCTGTTTTTTTCCTCCCTGCCTTAAGCACTTCACTGTCTTTAGGTGCCCTTCTTGATAACAATCATCTTACATGCATTGC